GGGGGGGGGGGGGGGCGCATATTTCATATATAATTATACACGTTTGTGAATATTTATACGTGTTTATGTATGTTTATACATATTTATACATATTCACACGCGTGACAAAATTTTTTACAGGGTCTATAATATTGTAAATAAGTATGCGTACTGTAATGCTATTGTCTTACATATTGTCGCACAATTCTTTTTCTACAATCATCATCTCTGTCGTTAATCAAACCCAAACGATACAGACATTAATTATATTATCAATTTTAAGTTTTAACGAACGGTCGATCTTCAATATATTGTAGTTATATCTCGTCGGTGCTATACGCAACGTATAATCTATGCACAATTCGCCAATTCGTGAAACATTTTTTAAACGGACGAATAAATTTGGATCATTAATAGAAAGCAAATAAATATTGTACATATTTATAAAAAAATCGAGCATAATCGTTCGATGACAGATACGTATCCCTTCGCGTTCGTCTTTGCAGCATGACACATTCGCATGGATTAGTCATCGTCAGGACAGCCCCACATTGCCTCGTCTTGCGTCGCGTAGTATCGCGTTCATCGCGCCGATCGCGCGTCATGCAAGTGGAACGTTACGCTGAAAGAGCCGTCTTTCTCAAGAATCCGTACGTGATTATATCGCAAGACCTTAATCTATCTATCGTTAACACCGAAACTTGAAAATTTAATCGTTTCAGAATCGTAGGTGTGACTCATTAATTAACGTTTCCTCTTGACAAACTATTAACGATGAGCTGTATCAATATAATGTAGATAAGAATATTATAATTATATATAATATTTCAATATCGCGCAATTCGTGTACTCTTGAAAATGATCGAGCCGTCTAATTCCGTGCTCTACTAGCAGCTTACAATAAGACAAGCACGCGCGTGAAAGAAGCAGAGGGAGAGAGAGAGAGAGAGAGAGAGAGAGAGAGAGAGAGAGAGACAGACGCTACAGCGTATTCTTTATTGGAAATATGTAACCATATTTGGCACGTTTTGCTAATCTAGAGCGTTATCTTAAATTTGATATTGTAGTGACGCATGGACCTTAACGTATTGATAGCACACAAAAGCGACAAACTTCTTAACATTTTAGATAACGTTGGGATTCAACCTTGTTTACACGACTAATCTAAAATCGGTAGACAACTGAAAAACGAACGTGCTCTCGCATAAGTTACTAGTTATTCCTGTTCTTGACTCTTTTCAGAGACTATGACCTTTCGGAGACTGCAACTGACTGCAACGTCAACGAGCTCGCGCGAAACAGTCAAGGATTCGAAACGCGGTCATGGCTTCATAACTCAATGAACTTTATGTATACGCGTGGTGTAGTGTGGTGTATGCGTATGTGTGTATGCTTCTTTGTTGCCAAAAACGGCTGTATCTTTCTCATTCGCTTGTATTCCACATTATCAACCTGCACTCTTTTCCTTACTACTTGCAAAACTAATCAGTTGCAATTTATGATTATGAATTCGTATAAATGTTTGCGTCGCAATGCCGAGCGTGCATAAGGCCAACGCGATATTTGCAATATTTGTGTACGTATATAATCACAGTTTATAACGAAAAGTAGATCGGGTACTTGTGCGCGGTGCGTAGAAAGGCGGATAGTTTTTTCTACGCTTTCCGGAACGCACACCTAACATTCAATCATAGTTTGCACTTGATCGAAATACCAACGAGATATAGCTTTATCGCTTGAAGCAAGTCATGCTCGAAATATTTATCGCTTTCGATTGAAAACGACTTGAAACGATCAATTATTACTATTATTATTATTATTATTATTATTATACATACACGAAGAATCTTATTTTCTTTACTACAATTTTTTACGAGATTGTTTTACTTTTAAAATATAACTTTTTGTTTACTGCGTGTTAAAACTATGACAGAGATGATCGATACGAAAAGTGTACATACTATGATATAGTACACTTATATATATATTTTGCATAATTATTGAAATCAAATCAGATAAGCAAACGCGCAGATAAAACGAATGGGTGATAAACCGAATAAGAATTTAATACGGAGTTTCGTGTACGTCTCGCAGGAAAAGATTCATCGCCGGTGCAGTTGTCATCATCGGGCCGGCCTCAGCGAACAAGAGGGAGAAGGATGATAATAACGAACAGGAGCGTAACGAGAGATTTTTGAATATTTTTATATTTTCAGGTTTTTCAATAAATGATATCTAGACGAATGAAAAATTAATAGTAAATCTTAAATAGAGAGAGAGAGAGAGAGAGAGAGAGAGAGCGAGATTACAGATACTGCATTATATATAGATACTGCAATCGCACAAATAATAACTTTAGTCTTGTGTGATCCTATCTTTAATCTTAAATCTATATCTGTATAAGCTCCTATTCGCGTGAGTGATCGCAGAATGAACGTTGAAAAATTCGCACGTTTTCTCCTAATTAACGCAATATTTCAAGTCTGATAGAGTCCAAGAGAATGAAACGTACAGTTTTGTGGAGTGTGACGCACAACTATTCAAGTGCCCCAACTAGCACAGCAGCGCCTGCAAATACAGCGCTGAAAAAGCGCTTAGATATCTTTTCTTAGTGCTTTTTTTTACGCTTTGTTTTTAACGCTGTGCTACTTGGGAATTTTGTTGAAATTTAATAACGAATGAATCCAAAATTTGCATATATATTTGAGTTCAAAACGAAGAAACGAGAATAGGGAGTCAGTAACTTTCGCGTATGACATTTATATCGATTATGCGGTACGTGTCGGGCCAAAATTAAGAAACGTTGTGTCTTGTACACTGATCATGAGAGAATTAAACATATTTTGGTATGTATAATCGATAGTCGTTATTTTTCTTATACGTGACTAACAAAAACTTTTTTACTTTTTCGTTAAAAAATTGTATTGTTCCGTGTTAAAATTTGATTAAGCGGATTGGTACAGTTTAGGTGCACGTAAAGAGAATAATTTTTGTTGAAATATATGTAAAAATTTAGGTAAATATAGATCTAAAAACATTTTAGATCCACATTTTAGATTTAGGGCCACCAAAATTATATAGGAACTCAAGCATCATGATTATGCTGCAAAAAGTTTTGATATTCTCACAATCTTCAGTTTGAGCATAATTATTTTGATGCTCCGACAAAGTTATTTTCTGTATCTAGCTAAATTTTTAGATATTTCAGCAAAACCATCCTTTCCGTGTGACGATGACGAAGGCCATCGAGCCTTCAGGGGGATCGACCCAGAAGAAAACCTGCTCCTGTGCCGTGTGTGATGCCTGTCTCCCCGTTATGTGTACATATATACAGACATTCCGAGAGGAATGCAAAACGATGATGTAAGCCGGCACATGAGTATACCAGTGTCGGTATCGCGCGATTATTGTTGTTTGATTAAAAAAAATAATCGTGCAGGTCGTCATGACAAAAACACTACACATTACGGTAAATTTTCCTAAATTTACAAAATAAGATTCAAAGGATGTCTTGTCCAAGCTTTATGGTGTTTGGCAACCGTGGAGAAATCGATGAGAAACGTCTGCAGTGAGTACCACGCCCAAAAGGGAGGTGCACCGAACGCGATAAACCCCATATACGGATTCCCCGTCGTATAAGAACAATATTCTATAACGTTGTCGTTAATAATACGCATCGAAAATGATGTACAAAGTACTGAGAAAAATGGTCTGGTTGGATTAAATAATAATTCTGGTGGAAAATGGACGAATCAGAATTTTCTGGCTAAATTTATTAGAATTCTAGTTGAGATAACCAGAATTCCGATTGATATAATTATTCTGGTAAAAATAAGAATTCTAATAGATTTTACTAGAAATACTGTATCAACCAGAATTCCGGTTATCTTAACTAGAATTCTAATAAATTTAACCAGAAAGTTCTGACTCGTCCATTTTCAATCAGAAATTTTTTTCAGTGAGTATCATTTTGACTTGTAACGTTTAAATGAATAAATGGCTGCGTTCAGCAGAAAAAGCAGCTTTGCAACTGTTGTAAAATTCTTCCAATGATTCGATCTAACCCAATAATACACTGTCAAAACTCTCAAAGAAATCCTCGAGCTTTCAAAGAAATCCGCTTGTTTTTTTCGCAGTAAGGATGTTCAAAGTTATAATTACAATTTTGTAATAAAGTCCAAGTACAATCGCGTCGGTGTAATCAGTTGTGCAGTGTATCGTAAATCTCGAAATCGTAAGATCTCACCAGAAAATCTGCATATTTCGTTTAACGGATATCGTAATCGATATTTTTGCAAGCTTTGGTTTTTTTTTTAAATCAATAATAATTGTAGAATAATCATGTTTTCCACATTTCGCATGACTTTTGTTACCTAAATCTTCTCTTTTCGCGTTAACGTGACGAGAAACAATAAGTGTAATAAGAAACTTATTTCGTTTGCCACATTGTCGAGGAGAAATTGGCCGTGCCAATAAAGTCAGTGACTTGGTGGCTTGGTTTAATTAACCCGAGGAGACGGCAAGATGTTTTCACGGCTTCAGAAATCAAGGCCACGTATATACACGCACGTTTCACAAGGTTGGTCGTGTAGCGCGTCGCGTGAACGCAAGCGTTCCTATCTTTGCTCCGACCTCTCTCTCTCTCTCTCTCTCTCTCTCTCTCTCTCTCTCTCCCCTCTCTCTTTCTCTCTCTGTATATTCTGAGAATGAATCGCAAATAAAAAGTCTCGAAAAGAGTCTCAGGAGTCAATATTAATTTATTTTCAAATAAAAGATCACATAAAGATATCTGAATGCTATCTAATGCGCCATTTTTTGAGAATAGAAAGATATCACAGAAATGATACCTAAAAGATTTCTCAAATTGCGTGCCTTTATGATATCCAAAGTATATTAACATGTAGAGTTCGTATTTATGATGTATAAAATAAGAAGTCATCTGAAAGACGATTAAAAGATGACTTCTGTAAACATCTTTTAGTTGTCTTTAGACTCTTTTACTTTTTATATTTTAGCACATGTAACATTTAATAACATTAGATATCTGAATTAATTTTTACACAAAACTAAACGAAATTGTACGACTGTCAATATACATCCCATTTATGTGAGTGACTGTCAATATATATATATATATATATGTCCCATTATGTCTGCAATGCTTGCCGTGTCCTGCGTGCAAGAGCCATTATCTTTCATTATAGTCCCCTTTGAGGACTTGCTTTCAAAAAATATTTCATAAGTGTTCATTAGAACACAAGTTATATATTTCTCACAATGTTGCACCTTTTATTCTATCCAATATGGTTTTCAAACACGAGAACTCAAACTCCATCACGTTCGTCTGGTGGCGATCCCGCGTACTGCTCGCGAGTGAATGATGAAAAGTATCAAAATAAAGTTACCTTTGTGATATCTTTTAAAACGACAACAAATGGATTTCTCATAAAAGATACCATAATTATATCTAGTTTCTGAATCAGATATAGCGGCGCATGCGCATTTGCATGGCTCAAAAACCATACAACATAATGGTATCTTTCATGAGAGAAGAAATTGATGAGAAGAAGCTGATGAGCCAATCAGGATATTGCTTTAGGTCCACGTAATCTAACGGAAATGGAAATAACAGTAAACTTATCCATAACCTCGCAATAAGGCGAGTTTCAACCGGCTGAAACTCGCCTTATGGATAAGTTTACTGCTATTTCTATTTCCATTAGATTACGTAGATCTAAAGCAGTAGCCTGATTGGCTCATCGGCTTAAGTTCACGTCTTGAGGCCACACCTTCCGTGACGGTATCCATAAGACGTACCGTAAGAATCAGCCACCAATCACAGTAGAGAATTCTTTTGAACTCTTAATTCTAATTGGCTGATTCTACGTCTTATGGTTACTGTCAGGCCGGAATCAGACTACACATTGAAGATTGAGGTTGAAGATTGACCAATAAGGACAAAGAAATTTTAGAAGCTCCTTTCGTTTCGATCGGTGAAAAATTTGAATTTTTCAATCTCAATCTTCAAAGCGTAGTCTGATTCCGACTTTACGGAATGTGTGTTCCATGGCCATAAGACTAGACTGCAAACTCCCCACTTTTTCTGTTGTCAGATAGTATGGGTGCATCCAGAAGTACGACCGTTGACTGGGTGCATCCAGAAGCACGACCGCTCATTGGATGCATCCTGGGAGCTTATTACGGTTTTTGTGACCAAGTTGTGAAAATTACAAAAATGATCAAATTCACTAGATGTTAATCAATGAAGTTATAAATATTCTAGTAAATTCAATCGCTTTTGTAATTTAAACACGGCATTAGAGAAATAATAAACAGTAATAAATAAGTAAGAAATATGAGATAAATAAAAGATTATCTAGAATAGACAAGTTATTCTACGTTACGAATTATGTATAATAAATAAACATATTAATCTCGGAGATTAATCCCTTTTTTACTGCGTGAGCGCTCAGTGAGCGGTCGTTGCTTCTGAACGCACCCATTGAGCACTCAGTGAGCTCTCGCATTTGATTGGCACATTCCATTAGAGCTATACCAAACGGGTCTATATTTTTAGTTCTAATGGAATATGCCAATTATATTATTATTTTGTACGACGGACGTATGTCGAGACAGCGTATTTTTGAGGAAAAGGAAAGAAAGATGTGGAATCCAAAACGCATGGAAGAAGCCATTATTTGTGTAAGAACTAAAAAATTAGGCTACACAAGAGCAGCAAAGATGTTCAAAGTTCCCAGAACCACTCTTCGGAGATTGGCTGCGAGTGATTTGCCACCAGAAGATTGTGTAAATATGAGGTTAGGACGAAAGCCAGTGATACCTACAGAGATGGAAGCACAATTAGTTGATTACCTACTGGAAATGGAAAACCGATTTTATGGTTTGACAAGAAATGATGTGAGAAAAATGGCTTACCAATTAGCCGTAAGAAATAAGTTGAAGCATCCTTTTGGACGTAATGAGGAAGCTGGTAGAGCTTGGTTTGACCATTTTATAAGAAGACATCCAACATTAACTATTCATAAACCAAGTGGTACATCATATTCCAGAGTGGTAGGTTTTAACAAAGAATCTGTGTCCGCATTTTATAACATTTTGGAAAACTTATACGAGAAACACAACTATAATCCTGATCGTATATTTAATGTGGATGAAACCGGATTCTCTGTAGTACAGAATAAAATTCCACACATAGTAGGTCTAAAAGGAAAAAAACAGGTATGTTATTGTTGCAAGTTCTTTTATTTTTGCCTCACAAGATAACCTTATAACAGTTATTTGTCCGATGAATATAGGTTGGTTTGCTCACTGCTGCAGAAAGAGGCTCTCTCATTACAGTTATTTGTTGCATGAGCGCAGGAGGAATATTTATCCCACCAATGCTAATATTTCCCTGTAAAAATATGTCAAATATTCTAATGAAAGGTGCACCTATTGGATCTGTTGGTACATGCCATCCATCTGGATGGGTTCAAACCCATTTATTTACAGAGTGGTTCCAACATTTTATCAAAAAGACAAATCCTACGAAGGAGTCTCCTGCTCTTTTAATTTTGGATGGCCATTATTCCCATACAAGGAACTTGGACGTGATTGATATTGCACGGAAAAATTATGTTACTATTTTGAGCATACCGCTTCATACTACACATAAAATGCAGCCTTTAGATCGCACATTTATGGGACCATTCAAACAATATTATAGTGAACATATTCGTATTTGGCAACGTGAGAATCAACGACCAGTGGGACCGTATGATGTAGCTGAACTTTTGGGAAGAGCTTATCTTCAATGTCAAACAGGTCTAATCGCTGCTAATGGTTTTAAAGTTACTGGAATTTATCCATTTAATCCGCATATTTTTTCGGATAGTGATTTCATCGCGTCCACTCCAGTAGAAGAATATCCTATGTCGTCTACAAGACGGATAATTGTTACTACGAAGCGTCATGATCAGCAAATAGAAGAAAATTTTGCACAACCAAGTTGCTCTAAAGATTGTAAGGCGGAACAAATAACGATTCCCGTATCGCCTAAGGAAATATGGCCAATTCCACAAATTAAATCAAGAAAATCTACTCGAGGCCGCAAACCTTCACAGGCAGCAATCATTACGGAGTCTTCATATCGGAAAACGTTACGACAATCCTTAAACGATTCAGAGACGAAAAAGTCTACAAAGAATTCTGCACCATCCAAAAGAAATGTGCAGAAATGTGAAAGAAAGAGAAAACTTGAGGATGTCAGTGACATTAATAAAGAATCTAACTCCTTTTGTATCAAATCTGAATTAGAACTTCCACCTGGTTAAGCTGTTCTGAAGTCAGTGCAACCTGTATTTTCCGTTATGGATCATTTTCGAATGACGATAGTAGCGTTTGTTTTGTCTGTTCTGGATCTATCTTGGAGCAGCCTCGATCAGACCTGGGTATTTTTAGGTTAAGATAGAGGATTTCCGGAAGTGGATCGTAGAACAGAGAGTTAACTATTTATTGTGCTCTGAACGACTCTGAAGTGAACTTGGGACCACTCGGACCGCTGTAAAAAGAACGACAGTATAATCTGATCTGAACGAACATAACCTGTGCATGCTGTTGACATTTTCCGTCTTGTTCTACTTTTTCGTTACACTCGTAACATATTGAGTGAAATATAAATGTACATAGAGGGATTACTGTGCACATTTTACACATTTTACAAGATTAAAAAGGAAACAGTGATATTTATTCTAGTTAAATATATTTTAGATTATGCCAAATTAGATCGACAACTAAATAATACGACGAAACCACATACATCGAGTCGATCTATCGACCTATTTTTTTTTTTCTTTCACTTGCATTTTCGTCCGTTATTTGTTGGTTGTAACCCGAATAGATCCGCCTTGACCAGCCGCGAAACGTCGTTTCGCGAGGGAGCATTACCCTGAATGGACCTGAATGGCTTTCGACTGCTCTGACGACGATAGATAATAAAACAGAACCAAGTGTTCACCTCGACGAAGATCCCCGATTGCCTTCTACGTGACTCCCATCAGTCCCACCTAAAAGAACGCTATCAAGTATGCTGGGTAAGCTGGGTTCGTTCGGAACGACCCCGAGCAGCTTCTGATGAGAGACAAAACGAACAATACTAAAAAGGGAGACATATGAGGCCTGTTCTTTTTGACTGAACTTTTGCACCAGTTCATCTTTCTTCTTCTTCTTCTTCTCCCTCCTGAAGAGAAAAGGGAAAAAGATGAACTGTGCAAAAGTGCAAAAGTTCAGTTAAAAAGAACAGGGATTCAATGTATAATATGCGAAATGTGAGTACACATTGCTTGCTCTGGAGCTGAAAACGAAGACTATCAAAGACTACTAATAACAAGCAAAGCTTCTCTTCCCAATGCGCCTAGCGGCCAGCTAAGTGGAACTGGCGTAAATCAGACGGTCCAAATACCTAAAGCCTATTCTACATTGATCGCCTCGCAAACGTTGCAGTCCAATCAAAGTTGAGCTAGCTTGACGTTGAATCGACCACAACGCTTGCGACGCTGTGATGCGATCAATGTAGAACCAGCTTTACGATTACGACTAAAAGTTTTATGCGCGCGCGCGCGCGCGCGTGTGTGTGTGTGTGTGTGTGTGTGTGTGAGATGGCCTTAAGCCCGTATC